CCGGCGACCGCAGGGACGCAGCGACGATTACCACCACTACCACCACCACCACCAACAGCACCACGCAACCACCACCACCACCACCACAGCCACCACCACCACCACAACCACCACCACAACTCACCATCACCACCACCACAAAAACCCACCACCACTACCACCACAATCTACCACACCACCACCACCACCGCCACAACCACCACCACTACCAGCAGCACAACCCACCGCCACCACCACAAACCACCATACCACTACCACAAACCGCCACACCACCACCACCACCACCACCACCACAACAAACGTCCACAAACCACCGCCACCACCACAACCCACCACCACCAACACCACCACAAACCACCACCACACCACCACCACCACCACAACTCACCATCACCACCACCACCACCACAAGAACCCACCACCACTACCACAATCACCACAATCTACAACACCACCGCCACCACCACCGCCACAACCACCACCACTACCAGCAGCACAACCCACCAACACCACCACCACAAACCACCACACCACCACCACCACCACCGCCGCCACCGCCACCACCAGCACCACCTCCACAAACCACCGCCACAACCACAGCCCACCACCACCACAAACCACCACCACACCACCACCAAACCACCACCACCACCACCACAACCCACCACCACCTCACCACCACCACCACCACAAACCACCACCACACCACCACCAAGACACCACCACCACCATCACCCACCGCCACAACCACCACCACCACAACAAACCACCACACCAGCACCACCACAACCACCACCACCGCCACCAGCACCACCACCACAGCCCACCACCACCACCACCACCACCACCGTCGTCCTCGTCGACACTCCCCGCCATCGCCGCCCGCCGCCGCAGGCGCCGGCGCCGGGCCAGAAATGGAAATTGTCGTCCCCGCCGCCGTCGCCAGCCGCCGCCGACGCAAGCGCAGCGCTGGCCCGAGGAGAGGGGAAGCAGGGGAGGGGGCTTTCTCGCTAAGATCATCCAAGAGTCGATTCCTCCGGAGGACCCTGGAACAGGAAGAGGAAATGGAGACGATTGCGAAGAAGACAACAAGAGTCAGTTAGAGCGGATTGGAGCGGAGTGGAATGGAAAGCGTAGGAAGGTACGAGAAGGCAAAATCACGGGGAACCTCCTCATAGTCCTCCTCTCTCCTCGGATCTCCCTCCTCCTTCTCCTCGAACCGCCTCCCCCTCCTCGAACCACCTCCTTGCCCTCCTCGATCCTCCTCTACCCGGTTCTCGATCCTCCTCCCACCTCCTCCTCTTCCTGGTCATACTCTTCCCCCTCCTCCGCCTCCTCCTCCCCCTCCTTCTCATCATCCTCCTCCTCCCCCTCCTCGATCCTCGATCCTCGATCCTCGATCCTCCTCCTCCTCATCGATCATATTATTCCCTCCTCCTTCTTCTCTTCTCCTCCTCCTGATCCTCCTCCTCCTCCTCCTCCTCCTCCTCCTCCCCTCCTCCTCTCCTCCTCCTCTCCTCCTCCTCCTCCTCCTCCTCCTCCTCCTCCTCCTCCTCCTCCTCCTCTCCTCCTCCTCCTTCCGGTTCTCGATCATCGATCCTGCCTCTTCGATTCTCGATCCTCACCCCTCGATCCTCGATCCTCCTCTTCCTCGTTCTCCTCCATAGGGGCAACAAAAGTGGCCTGTGCAGAAGGGGGGCGTCTAGAACCAGTGACTATATTTCAATCAGCTCGGGGAGGAGCCGTGTTTAAGAGAGGGTGTTCTGCAGCAGAGGGGGCCCGCGCAAAGGGAGGGGTGCGTCTAGCACCAAGGAAAGGAGTTGCTGTAATCAGCTCGGGAGGGGCCTTGCCTAACAGGGGATGCTATGATGGAGAAGGGGCACGGCTAGTGCCAAAGGGATGTTTGGACAAGCTTGGGGGAACGGAGGCCATGAGCAAAGGATGCAGTCAGTATCCGAGCCAACACAAAAGCTAAACGAAGCACTTGCACGAACAAAAAACAGCCCCAAACGCGACGGGGCTTGCGTACCAAACACACACACACACACACACCCTCTCCGGGACGAGCGCTTCAAATATTGTCGCGGCTTGCAGCACTGCCACTACCAGCTGACGGATCCAACTCCAATCGGCCGAGCTGTTGGTTCGAAAAGGGCGGGCCCAACGATCATGAGCACCGAACATATCCGTATCCATGCCCGTGCTGGGTGCCACGGGCATGGATCATGTAAAAGACTTCGGTCGAACATAACTGCGAGCCGCGAGCTCGGTTAGCACATTGCGCGCTCGGCGCATTGCGCGCTCAGGGCTGATAGGCCGACCTGGCCCACGGCTCGAAACCGAACGTCGGAGTTTCGCATGGCACGCGCGGGCGGCCCATACATTCCCCCTCAATGGACCGACGCGATGTCACTGATCTTCCAAACCCTCACAAAGGGCGGAAGTCCTAGGAAGGCCGTTCAATCACTGGACAGCCCGCGCCAACGGGCGCGCATATTCAAGTTTTGGCCAGCAACAGGCCCGACGCCAACGGGCGAGCATATTCTCGGGCGCAGCACCGCGGCTGATGCGCGGCCCCCGGCTGGGACGAGTCGGCGAAGGCCTCAACCCTGCCGAAACTTCAGGCCAGACATCCTGGCCGGTCGGCACAAATCAGCCAGGTACCTTCGCCACCTGATCCAAAGCTGCCAATGCCCCCCTGGCCCAAAACAATCAGCCACCCAACCCCTGGCGCAAAACTGCCAGAAAAGGCATCCTCAAACCCTTGCGCAAAACTGCCAGATACGGGTCGTCAACCTCCTGGCACACAAGTGTCGGCCAAATCTCACCCTCTGAGAAGGAAGGATCAGGAAGGCCAACCCTACCAAGGATCCGTAAGATGGGGACGATGTATGCTTTCTCCTCCGAAAAAAAATCTCACATATCTATAGCCGGCCCGTATCATTAGGATGCGTGATAAGGATGCAAGCGCGGTGGGCGCCGACTTCGAAGCTTCTCGAGCGGGGCGCGGCCAACGAAAGTGGCCAAGGATGGACCGAGGAAGCAAGGGTGCAAGGGTACCCTTGGGATGGTTGCCCATCTTTACTATGCGGGTTGACTGTATACGTGCCAACACCTGGGCGGGAAGGGCACCGGATGAGGTGAGTGGAGAAACAAAACGGCACAAACATAAACCATTGTCGGTCCGCGCGGATTTTTTGGATCTGCCCTGGGTCCACCTTCCTGGCGCGCTCCGCGCGCTAGGGGCGGCGCCGGAAGCGCCGCCAAGGGGCCCCAGCGCAGATCCAAGAAATCCGCGCGGACCGTCAAAAAGTTTGTGTATGCCGTTTTTTCATTCTTCGAGAGGAGGTAGGTAAGGGGGGGTACACACACGCACACACACTCACACACACTTTTTGCGTCGGAGGCTGGGCAGAAAAGGCTGCTCCGCCGATGTGGCATTAGTGGGGCGCACAAAATGCAAAATTGGGCCGCTGTGCACGGTGGAAGAGGAGAGGACGCCCGGCGCAGGCGGGAAGAAGGGAAGCCGGGCCCGCTTAGGCAAGTCCTGGCTGCGGCGGGGCGGGCGCCGGTGGGGAGAGCCAGCCGCGGCGCCGGGCAGCAGCTGGGGGGAAGGCAGCCCGACGGCGGTCGGGCAGTGCCGCACACAAGCACACACACACACACACACACACACACGAGCACACACACGAGCACACCCTGTTCGGTCGTCGCGGGCGGGAACACCTCCTCGCCATCCGGCCACGGGCGCACACACACACACACACACACACACAACATACACACACACACGCACACAACACACACACACAACATACACACACACACACACACACAACACACACACACACGCACAACACACACAACACACACAACACACACCCAACGCAACGTACACCAAGCCCATACTTCAATGCACCTCAAACTCATTGCCAAAAAAAACGTTCACCTAACCACCGAACAACTCTTGCCAAGCTGGGCGGAAGGACACTGCGCTTCGAGGTCTCCCCAGTGTCGCACGTACCCAAATCGGAATACAACCACTCGCGCATCCACGACCACAGCGGCTGGGCCGGCTTTTTTCCAGCCTCGTACAGTCGGGGTGCTATCTCCGCTGGGCCCCCAAAATCCCATCACAGCGCCTGCGAGGCAGCAAAGGGTGGAGCCACTTGCCAGAGCCAAAACGTGCACGGGAGGGAGAGTCCGTGCTTCCAGCCGTGCAGTCCCAAGGAATGTATCTACTTCCAAATACGGGCCGGGTGCACCAGCCTCATGATGCGCAGTACCATACCCAGCTTGAGCACGAATTAGAAATGATGAATTGGGTGTTAGGACAGCTCCTACAGCGGTTGTCCATTACCGCCAGAATGGTCATCCGTCATATTCCTTCAATCAGAGTGGAGCACCTGCATCGAAGTTCCCGAGTCGGCCTGTGGCTGTGCGTGAGCGAAGCCGAGAAGTGCTGTCGTGCTGCCAGGCGTCTCTGATTCGCATTGCACAGGCAACGGATAACTTCATCACTCACACCCTAGAGGAGGAGGAGGAAGAGGAGGAGGAGGAGGAGGAGGAGGAGGAGGGGGAGGAGGAGGAGGCGGGGGAGGAGGAGGAGGAGGAGGAGGAGGAGGAGGAGGGGGAGGAGGAGTTACTCACACCCCGCACGGGCGCCTCCCGTTCGCCAGGTGGGAACGCGCTCCAATCCCAAATGCCACGCTGTGCCACAGTCGAGAACTGTGCTATGGGAGGGAGGGCGGAGGGGGCCCCCTGCCTCGCTCGACCTGGCGAACTTGACTCCTCCTCCTCCTCCTCCTCCTTCCTCATCCTCCCCCTCCTCCTCCTCCTCCTCCTCCTCCTCCTCCTCCTCCCCCTCCTCCTCCTCCTCCTCCTCCTCCTCCTCCTCCCCTTCCTCCGTCCGCCGACCTTACCTCCGCACTCCAAGGGAGCCCAACCTCTCCGGGCCGTCTGCCAGGGAGACGGCGGGTCGGTGGTGAGGGGGGCCGCGCCTGGATGACCGAGCCGTTGCCGAGCGTCGCGTCGGTAAACTCGCGCTTGTGCACAAACATATCCTCGGAGCCAGCAGACGCGGCGGCGAGGAGAAGGAAAGCGGGGAGGCGAGGAGAGGGAGCGGTGGCAGGACGGCGAGAGAGAGAGGGAGGGATAGTGCGAGAGAAGGAGAGAGAGAGGAGAGGAGGGGAGGGGAGGCGGGGAGGGTGGAGGGGAGGGGAGGGGAGGGGAGGGGAGGGGAACAAAAACGAAGGGATGGGCGCTGACACAGAATTGGTGCTGGCACCTGCGCTGGCACAAATGTGGGTGCCCACGGTATTTGGCTGTAGCGGGCGCGGGTGATGCGTCCCGTCTTCTTGCTTTTTTCTGCTGTCTCGGACGGTCTACTGCAGCGAAGAAGCTAGAATTTCCGACGACGCTGACAGGGTCAGCCTAGCAAAATTAGCACCGATTGCATTACACTGCCGAAAACATCGTAATGTCATCAGTCCGGACCGGCATTATCATTCGGAGGTCCACGGCGACCTGGGGCCCGACATGAAAGCGCCCAGACTCGGCGGGACCTGAGGCGAGGAACAGGGTAAGAGGGCAAGGGGGAATACATAACGCATGCACCAGCGCGGCAAACAAATTCTGGAGTCCTAACATCCAGCACGGAACCAAAGGAAAAGCACCAGCGATGATGCTGATGCAGATGATCTTGGTGCTGCAGGCGCTGCTCTGATAGTGCGATAGGTGTGGCCAGCGTTTCCCTAGAGCCTCACGTGAACATAACATATGGCATTATCCTATATTTGGCACGCACGGCGTGGAGACGATCAGGTGGGGACGATGACCAGCAGTACAGGTGACAGGCGGCGATCGTCCCAAATGGAGACCGCCCGCGGCGACGCGGGCAGCGAACCCAACCTGGGCTGCTGCCAATTTTCGTCCCCGTTCTGTCTGCGTCCAGTTCGATCGTGCCGCTACTTCCTGCTCCAATCTGCCCCAAGAGGGGGCCCCGAGAGAGCGTGCCACCGCCGCGCCAATAGAACTCACTCCTCCGAGGCCCCGAGACCCCCGAGAGGCTCCCAAAAGGCCCCCGAAAGGCCCCCAAGCGATGCCCCAGAGGCCCCCAAGAAGGAGGACTCAAGAGGCCCCCAAGAGGCGGCCCTGCACCCTCTCCGCGTATGGTCCAGGATCATATCCCACCCAAGGCCCGCAGGCTAAAAACCATGGCGGTCAAGATTCTGCTGGACCGAATACATCCTCAGGGCCAGCGTCAGTCAACATCGGCGATCTTCTGACCCGGGTCAATCCAGACCCGGATCAGCAAGAAACTAAAAACTGCAATGCAAAAAAAAAACTGCAACGCAGGTCTTCGCAAACCCGGGTCAGCCCATAGGCGCGGCCGCCTCGCGGCCACGAGCGGCTCGCTAACCCAGGTCAGCCAGAGGGGGTCTTCGCAGGATCCTGCAAGATCTGGCGCTCTGGCTGACCCCTGCTTGCATTGACCCCCGTCTCAAGGCTCCCGACAACACATGGGCCAAGAACTCCGGCCCAGGATAGCCATCGGAGAGGAACGGGGGAGGCGAGATTGGGCACGCCCTCTTCGCGCGCGCACGGGGTCGGGGCAGGGAGGCCGCTCGGACGCCTGCCGGGCGCGGCCCGGGGAAACGAAGTGACGCCGGGCGGAGTGGGGAGCCCTGGGAGGCGGAAGCTGAAGAGAGGGAGGAACCGCTGGCCCCAGGGGCGGCGGGCAGCGGGCGGCGGCGGGCAGTGGCGGCACACGGGCGCCGGCGGGAAGGGCCCCGCGGGCGGCGGCGAGCAGCGGGGCGGTAGGCAGAGGCGGGGGCAGCGGGCGGCGGCGCCAAACAGGCGCAGCCAGGGCGGGAGGGCGGCGAGCAGCGGGGAGGCACCGATCGGCGGCGGCAAGCAGCCGCCGTGTGCGTCTGCACTGACGCGCAGCCCCCTCCGGCGTCCTTCCCGAACATCGCGTGGGTGTCCGGGCAGTCCACGAAGCCCCAGCCCTTCTCCTGCAAGCGCCGCGCCCTCGCCCGCAGACCCTGCCCCTGCGCCTCGCGCCCCCCCCTGCCTTTCGCGCGCGCGCGCGCGAGCGTGATGGTTCTGGAATGTCAGGGGGCGCCCGCGTTCCGGCTGCTACTGCGCGACGTCGATCTGCCGAAAGCTTTGCACGAAGCGTTCACGGCATTCACGTCTGCCTCGACCCTCTGCGCGAACAGAAATCCGGGGCAGTCTTGGGAAGTACACATCCACCTCCTGGGGTACCAACTCCCTGGGACCCCAAGGGTGCGTAGGATATGGATATGCATACATACATACATACATACATACATACATACATACAGACAGACAGACAGACAGACAGACAGACAGACAGACAGACAGACAGACAGACAGACAGACAGACAGACACACATACATACATACATACATACATACATACATACATACATACATACATGCACATGCATGCATGCATGCATGCATGCATGCATGCATGCATGCATGCATACATACATACATACATACATACATACATACATACATACATACATACATACATACATACATACATACATACATACATACATACATACATACATACATGCAGACATACATACATGCATACATATATTTATATGTGTATATGTCAAGGCCCCAAAGAACCCGAACCATGTCCACATCCGCCGCCCCCCGAGATCCAGGGATGGACGGATAAACTGAACGCGGAAATGTCGGTGTCGATCTTGGTCACCGTCCATCTTGGTCACTGGTGACTTGACGGCGACGGCCCGGCATTGACCATGACCAAGACCGGCCTCGACAAGATCCCGCGACATCTTGGTCATGGATGGTCCTCGTGTCTCTCGCATCGATACACGGGGGGGCGGGGGGCGGGAGCGCGCACCTCCCTGGCACCTCTTGAGCCCGCGGTGGCAGTGCAGGGGCCGATCGGGGCCAGCAAGACCCCGACCTCTCCCTTGGTGCGTCCTGGCCAGAATTTCGAGGCGGATCCGGCGGTGGCGACGAGGGCTCCTCGGGAGGCCCAGGAAGGCGGAGACGAGGGAGGGGTAGCCGCATGGCTGCCTTCTCCTCCTCTGCAAGCTACAGTCGGGGCCCTGAAAAAGGAGCCCTTTTCGTTGGGGAGGGGCTCGGTATTCCTTGATTGTTCTGCAGTTTGCCTTCGGTTTTCCTGAGGTTTCCCATGGGAAATCGAAGTTCAACTTATGGGAGAAAGGGGCCTCGCTCCGTATTTGGAGTTCCTTAGGTCAACGCCCCGACGGTTGGGCCGTCGCCCTGCGGTCTTCGATCCCCCCTCCTTCCTGCAGCCCCCCCGCTGCCGAGCGCCCGAGTCTGCCCCGCTGCCGAGCGCGCTCTCGCTCGCCTCTCTGCTCCTCGGGGCATTGCTGGGCCTGCTCCGCTGCCGTCCCGCTGTCGGGCGGAGGTCGGCGAGAGAGGGGGCACAGAGGCCTCCTAGATGGAGTCCGAGTCCATGGGGTCGAAGGATCGCGCCGCATCGCTGATGCATCGCCGATGCGTCGCCGATGCCTCGGCGATGCCTCGGCGACACCGCCGATGCATGGGCGCCGTCGGCCTTGAGAAAATCGGACTCCTCCACAGGGCCTCTTCCGCTGCCGTCGCTGTCGGGCGGAGGTCAGCTGGGCGTGGGGGTCACAAGCGTGGGGGGGGGGGGGCAGCCCCTGGTAGGGGTGCACCCGGAAGGGGGCCCTGAGCGGCCACCGGAGCTGCGAGCCCGCGCCCAAGAGGTGCTTTGAAGGGGGGTGCACCTTCCTTCCCCGAAGGGGGGTGCACCTTCCTTCCCCCACCTCACCACGTTGAGTTCCCCGCCCCACCGCCGCTGTCGTCCATCCGACGCTGCTGCATCTAAGTATGAAGGGGCCCCAGGACACACAAATAAATACACACAAATAAAAGTATTCCCCATATTTTCCCATATTTTCTGTGTTTCTGTCTTCCCCCCCACTTCCCATGTTTTCCCATATTTTCTGGGAATCGACGAATAATTGTGTCTGTGTGTTTCTTTTCCTCCTGAAAGTAGCACTGTCGTGGTCGCTGGCATCGCCAGCCGCGAAGCATCCCCATCCTCCTGCTCCTCCGCCTCCCCCTCTCATCGGCCGCCTTGATTCCCTTGCTCATCTCCTCCTCCTCCTCCTCCTCCTCCTCCTCCTCCTCCTTCATCCTACACTGCCACCACCACCATCAGAGTCGCCGCAATCGGTGGCCATGCTGTACACACATGCTGCGCCGATCTCGGATCGACGCCTCGACCCGGAGTGTGAATGGAATTGCCTGGTGTAGTGGGGAATGGCGCCCTGCGTATCACCAATCGTGCTATACGCTGCAGGGGAGATGACCTCAATTTGTTTGACGCTAGCTCTCCTGAATCTAGCTCGCGTTGGCCTGCCTTCGCAAGGCTGTGTTGAACATGTTATGCAAGCTCTACCTCGAGCAATGTGTTATTGACACTGCCCTGACCGGCGTCCGCTCTGCTTGGCCTGGCGCATACTGGGCTGACCGAGGCCAGCATGATACTGGAGGCTTGTGCAGCATGATCAATGAGAATGTGCTGGCAGTGATCATGACCATTGACGCCAGGAGCCCTGAACAAGGTCAAGGTCACTACACTATGGAACGACGAGCGACGGCGGGAGAGGGCAGCATACAATCCATAGATATGACTCAGGCTAGACATAATAGACTACGCATGCATAAGCTAAAGTCGGGGCAGATGGGGTCACATGAGGCTACCAAAGTGCACAGCAACTGCCTCCTACTCTCGCAAAGCTACTGTGTTCCTGTGACTGTTTCTCATGATCCTCCTCTCCTCGATCCTCGGATTTCGATTCTCGATCCTCGATCCTCGGCTTTCGGTCCTCTTAACATTATCTCTTTCTCCTCCCACATGCTGGCCTCCGGTAGGCAACATTTATAATCCCCCCGCAACCCCGAACTTGATTATCCCTGTGGGATTAATCTCGGCAGCACAGGGTTAAGTGTTACCTCAAGACTCCCCAGTCAATACCTGCACTGAGGGGAGCTAGATTGCGTCGCAACCAGAGAGTCCGCGCTTGTCAATGCGAGTCGGCGTCGCTGGTGCCGAGTCTCGACTGCTTTGCTCGGTGCCGTCTGCCGTCGCCGAACCTGTGTCCCGGTTGCCTTGGCTGCTGCGAGTCGCCATCGCCGCCCCGGTGCCTTACGGTTAGTGCCCTACGGTCGCCGCCCAAGAGGTCCCTGGCCCCACCTGCCTTGGTTGTTGCTGTTCGCCGTCGCTGATCTCGGATCCACTTGCCTTGGTTGTTGCGGTTTGCCGTCGCCGCCTTGGTGCTCCTTTGGCTGGTGCCCAATACAATAGGAGTTCGACCACAAGAAACCTTCCACAAGAAACCCAACCCTGAGACCCCAGGACGTCCTTTGATTTTTGGCGTGGGCACGTTGCGGTCTCCACAGCAAAACCATCGAAACCCACACAATCCAGGGAACCCTGGAAGCAAGCAGGGTGTTTGTTTCTTGGCATGGGCTTCCACTGTAGACGCTGCGATTTTCGGGTGGCCGCCCTGGTGTCAAGGTTGTCGAACGATGGCTGGCGGGTGCAGTCATGATCGCTGGACGGCTGCTGCGCTTTCCTCATGGCGAGCAGGGTGTGTCTTGGCGCGTCCCCCCTGTAGGTCTGCCCCCATGTGCTGCCCGCCCCCTGACACGGCCGCCGCGGTGCCGAAAACCTCGCGGCCAGCGGCGCCTCCCGCGGCGTGGGCCGCCTGCGCTCTGCACCCGGCCCCCGCCGGGTTGCGCATGCACCGCGTGGCCCCTCGCTTCTGCACGGTCGACGCATATGCGCGCGACCTTCGGGGGCTTTCAGGACGGCCACGCCGCCTCACCGGGAGGCCGACTCGCTCAGAGGGCAAGCCCCCCCCCCTTGCACCCGCTGGTTTCGGGCGGAGGGCTATACACTTCCACTGCTCTCTGGCCAGGCCCATCCTGAACCCAGCAGCGGTGTACACGCCACGCCATCCTGGCTTGGCCAGGAGTGTGTACACACAGCTCCTGGGTTCAGGACGGGCCTGGCCAGGGAGCAGTGGACCTGCATAGCCTTCGTCGCCCGATGGTTGGAATCACTGGGGCGTCGGAAGAGAGAACGTGTTAGGTCGGGCATGTCCCCCTATAGGCCGATCTTCGACGAAAAATTAAGAATACTCAATAAATGCTAGAAGAATGATCAAAAATACTAGAAAATCGTCCTCAAATGATTTTTCCCTATTTTTGAATATTCCTCCTGCAGTCTTGGGGGACTCGTACTCAAAAAAATATGCGGACGACTTTTCTTCTCTCTTTGGTTATTGTTCCCGATATCCTAAGCATGGGGTTCTTGTTGTATTACTTAGACCGCGCGGAACGCGAGAGAAAACACACCTCCCATTCTCAGGTCATCCTTCTCTGATTCACTCACATGTAGACTCACTCATATTCAGACTCACTCATACTCAAATGCGCTTGCTCTTAGATTCCTGATTATCCGGTTTCTCATGCTCGGGATCACTCATGAGCAGACTCACTCACACTCCTGGTACTTCCGCGCTCAGACTCACACACACACACACACACACACACACACACACACACACACACACACACACACACACACGTTGTAAGGATGTCTCAGGCGAGGCGCTGGTTTCAGTACTCCCAAGGGGGGGCGCCAGGAGGTAGATCACGGGCCCGTTCGCGCCCAGATTGGGGGGATGTCTCAAGCGGTTTGCCTGTTTCGGTGCCCAACATCCTTCTCTTTCGGAGCAGTTTTCGGCGCCCCGACAGGTGTTCAGAGGAAAAGAGAAGGAAAGAGGAGGAGGAGGAGGACAAGAAGGAGGAGGAGGAGGAGGAAAGAAGGAGGAAGCAACTAATTAAAAAGTAGTCGTAGTCGTCGGCGTCTCTCTCGGCTTCGTCTTCCACATGCATTCGCCGACACCCAGATACATTGAAAAGGACACAATGCCTTCGACCGAAGCATGCCACCACTGTGAGATGCACAGATGGGGATCTCCGCGTCGAGCAATTCCATATCTCTGACACTATCTTTGAGATTTCGCCCACAATCTGAAATTCCGTCCAACATCTGAAATTTCGTCCAAAATCTGAGATTCCATATCTCTGACTATCTTTGAAATTTCCTCCAAACTCCGGCGCGCCCGACCTAAGAGAGAAGGTGCGCGACGTGGCCTGCGCGTGCGGCGCGCGGCCGCAGCCGAGCACTCGCCGGTGCCCCCGCCCCGGTCGGCGGAGGAGAGCCACGATGCCACCCGGCAGCCACGCGGCGCGGCATGGTACAGGCCTCGGAACAGATTAGCGAACACATGCCACATTCATCCGTCAACGCCTCCCCCTCCCCCCAATGTTCAAAGTTGGCGGTGGGTCTGATGAGATGCACTTCGACCGCAGTCTCCCCCGCGCGTGCCAACGTTGAGTTTGGGGGGGAGGGGGGGGGAGTGTTCAGTAATTGTTTCCCTCTACCGTATGGCCCTCGGGCAGCTCGTGCCGCCTCCGCCTCGCGACTGCAGGCTCCTCGGGGGGCGGGCCGAGAGGCGCTCGGGGCAGGCCAGGAAGGCGTGAACGCCGCTCCAGGTGTCCTCCGCCCCCTCCTCCTCTAGGGCGACGAGATCTGTACATGTCCACTGCTCCCTGGCCAAGCCTATCCTTATTATGAAGGGGCCCCAGGACACACAAATAAATACACACAAACAAAACGATTCCCCATATTTTCCCATATTCTCCAAATTTTTGTCTTCCCCCCCACTTCCCATATTTTCCCATATTTTCCTGGTAGTCGACGACGATTATTCGTGTCTGTGTTTTTCCCCTCCTGATATTAGCCGCTCCTGGGTTCAGGAAGGGCCAGGCCTGGAGCGATGGACTTGTACGGGTCCCGTCGCCCCAGAAGAAGCGCAAGGTCGCCGCACCCGCCCAGGACCGGAGAAGCGCGCCCACCGCAGCCCGAGTGGGAGGGAGCCACATGCGAACCCTACCCCTACCCCCCACGATTTCTGAGGGGGAGGGTGGGGTTCACTTCGTTCGGGAGCTTCCGAGCGAAGTGAACCCCACCCTCCCCCGCAGAAATCGTGGGGGGTAGGGGTAGGGTTCGAACGTGGCCCCCTAAGTGGGAGGGCGCTGCACCGCCGGACCCCCGGCGAGCCTGGCCCTCGGCGAGCCTGCCGCCCCCGCAGCAGCGACGGCAGCGCCGCGGCCAGCCCCCGGGAGCCACAGGAACTGCTTCGCTCGGGGCGGCTCGTCGTCGGCGCCGAGGGGCCTGTGCGGAGCTCCTGGGAGCATCTCCACGGCCGCGTGAACGATGACGACGAGGCGAACGCTGCCACGTCGGCGCGGCCGCTGCAGCCACCGGGGCGGAGTGGAGACCGCCAGCTCTGCAGCGGATGCTGCAGCGGGCCCACACCGAGAAGATCTCCACGGTCGCGTGAACGATGACGACGAGGAGGCAAACGCTGCCACGTCGGCGCGGCCGCTGCGGCCACCGGGGCGGAGTGGAGGACGCCAGCTCTGCAGCGGATGCGGCAGCGCCCCCCACACCGAGAGGCACTCGGCCGAGGGGGGCCGCCGCGCGCGTCTGCCACAGGCTTCGCGAGAGCGGCGCTCGACGGAGCACGAGCAGCTGCGCCTCGAGCCGGCAGGGCTACGGTCCTCCTCCTCCTCCTCCTCCTCCTCCTCCTCCTCCTCCTCCCCCTCCTCCTCCTCCTCCTCCTCCTCCTCCTCCTCCTCCTCCTCCTCCTCCTCTTCCTCCTCCTCCCCGCCTCCCTCTTCCCTCTAGTCCTCCTACCTCTCCTCCTCTAGGGCGACGGGATCTGTACATGTCCACTGCTCCCTGGCCAAGCCTATCCTCAAATAAACCGCTGCTGGGTTAAGGATGGGCCTGGCCATGGAGCACTGGATATGTATAGATTTCGCCGCCTGATCCCCCGCACACTCCGCCTCCCGCTCCTCCTACGAGCCTGCAAGGCGGTGGGTAGTCGCAGCATCGTTTCAAACTCTTCCTGCCGTCACCCAGCCGCAGGGGCGGCCTCGCTGAAAAGCTTGACGGTCCCGAAGAACATCCTGGCGGCAACCCCCACGGGCCCCTCTGCCCCAGCAGGATGGTGCTTACGAGCATGCTCACGACGCCGTCAGTGCAGAAGGACGGAAAAAGCGGCAAGAACAGCCCGAAGAAGTCGGAGAGAGGTATGCCTAGCAATAATGTGAGCCTGGTATGACCGTGGCGACATATTAAGTGAGGCCCAGGGCACCGCCCGACGGACGCCACACGAGCGCTCAGGGCCGCAAGCGCACACAAAACCACATGCAAGATCAGTCGGCATCGAATCGGGAAATCGGATCGGATCGGAACATGCATCGAACCGTGCTGCACCGGTGCGGAAGTGAACTCGAGCCGAACCGGTCGTGACTAGATGCACAACAGCGCCGTGCAAGCATCGGGCCGCATCGGATCGACGCAACGGCTGTTGATATTCGTCCACAGTCGTTCCGTCCCCGTCTCGATCGTACTGTCGAGTTCCATTGGAGAGGACACGCTATAGGACGTAATACTTTTCCGAGGACGCAAACCTTGCCCCGGAAAAGCAGAGGACATAATACGCGATACGCGTAGCATGAGGCAAGGTCGACCTACTCATCCGCCGCCGTGCCTTCAGCACGTAGTGGAGTGCTCCACGGTTCATACAATTTTGAAAGCTCCATTAAGTTGTGGCTTCCCACAGGCCAGGACCACGAATGTCCCCGAGCTGCTGGTGGCGCATTCCTGGGCGCTCATGGGGCGTGGCTGGCAGGCCTCCGGGACGGTGAGCCTGTCCAAAACGACCCCATGAATCGCCGAGGGTTTCCCCTAAGCGCCCAAGACGGCCCCTGACTGCGATTGGCGACTTGGCCACCGCCTTCGACTCGGGAGGGGACTTTCTTCCCCCCTGGCACACAGACAGGGGCCAGGACCAGTGCGGCGGCCAGTAGTCTCCTCCTCGGCTGCTGGTCGCCCTGCCTGGCTTCTTCACAAATGGTTCCACCCCAGAGCTGCCACGAGGCGGCTCCAGGGTGGCATCTTCTTAACCCCGTACTACTTTTCTCGACCTTCGGCCGAGGGCGTCTAGGCCGTTAGGCAGCCTGTCGCCATCAACAACAACCAGGGCCCAAAGACAGCCTACGATGGACTCAAGACGGCCCGATAGGCCCCCAGTACGCCCCAATACGCCCCCCGAGGGCCCCGAGAGGCCAACAACGCTCTACGACCGCCTAAGAGGCGGCCGCCAAGATCACCCTAAGATGGTCCAATAGGCCCCCGAAACAGCCCAGGAGGGCCCCAAGACGGCCCCAAGAGGGGCGGGGAACATGAACTGACATTTCGATCCCCCAAGGCGACCCCCAAGACCGTCGGCGGGTCCCCCAGACGCCTCTCTGAGCCCCCTAAAGGAGCCCCCAGGATGCCCCCAAAAGGCTCTCCCCAAGACGCTTCAAGGGGGCCCCAGAACTGCCAACAGGTCCCCAAGACACCCCCAACAGGCCTACAAGAAGCTGACGAGCGAGGTCCGAAGAGACTCCGAGAAGCATCCTCCAAGAGTCCTCTAGCCTTCCTGTTCGCCCTCCTCCTCTTCCTCTTCCTCATTCGCATGGTCATACTCCTCCCTTCTCCCTCCTCCCTCCTCTCCCTCCCCATCCTCCTCCTCCTCCTCCTCCTCCTCCTCCTCCTCCTCCTCCTCCTCCTCCTCCTCCTCCTCCTCCTCCTCCTCCCCTGGTTACTTCTCCATCCTCCCCGTCTTAGGGCATGACGAGCCCCGTCTAGACCAACAACCACAACAACAACAACAACAACAACAAACAACAGCAGCAGCAGCAGCCGCAACCACAACAACAACAACCACCACAACAGCTGCAGCAGCAGCAGCAACAACAACGACAGCAACAGCAACAACAACAACAACAACAACAACAACAACGACACCGACAACAACAACAACAACAACAACAACAACAACAACAACAACAACAATCATTTTACCCGAACGCTCAGTGTTCTCCCCAGTGCCAGGGTTTTCATGCGACGCCAGCCAATACCCCCA